GATCCAAATTCTTTTTTCATAGGTCTATTAAGAACTTTGCCACTAGAGGGCTCTTAATACCGTATTTTAGTTAATTTAAATGTGTAATAATGATAAGATATTAAAATTATAGGTAGTGGGTAATATTGTCTTCCCAATTTATATATCTTACAAAATTTTTATAAATGCCTATTTTAAATGTTACACATTTATGAGAAATTTTGTTTTTTTAGAATGATAATCACTTTCAGAAATGTTTCAGGGATCTAAAGGGTATCTTTGAACTTTGTGAGGTTCAAGTTAAAAATGGTCTTGTCTTTAAGATACTCTAAACAGATACAAGATTTAACATAAATAGGAGATATATATGTAAAACATTTACTAAGTGGTACCTTCCATAAGAAATTCAACATGATCATTTTTTTTAATGAGCTAGTAACAATCTTGTGGAGGAGGAGAGTAACAGTTGCCATGTATTCTCATATGTGCAACAAGAGAGATTATGGATGGGAGTTAAGAGATCAAATTTAATCCAAAAGAAAAATATTTTGAGTGAGTAGAATGAAAGTCTTCTCTGATGAGGCTACATTTGCCCTAAATCTTTTGATAGGCACGGAGGAGTTTAGAGGAGAAGAAAATTATTCTGGTTATGGGGGAAAGCATGAAGACATGAAATATCCTTAGAGATTTCTTGGTTTCATCATGGATAAATTTAAAGTCCATGAGAATAACCCATGTAAAAAATAGAGCATTAACATTCCACAGCCTTCAGCTTCCCACAAATTTACTTCGGCAACCCCTTTTCATGCTCATACTCTGGAACTGGTGCTTATGTCTTTACTCAACAAATATTTATTGAATGCCTATCTACATATGCTGGTGCTGTTCTGGCCCTCAGAGGACAGTGGTGAAAGGACCAGTGTGATTCCTGCTCTCATGATTTATATACAAGTCACGAGAAACCAGCAATAAATAATCAAAACTGGAAAACAGCAGATAGTAATAAACGTCAGGCACAGAATTAAACAGGATTATGGGAGTGACTGATGGTGATTCCCATTGGGAGGTTAGGAAAGATTGGGTCGTTAGGGAAGGCTTACATGATGAGTTATTAAAGCTGAGAAAGACTAGAAGGAATCAGCTCTGTGATAAGGTAAAAATATTCTAGTTGGAGAGTACAATTACTACAAAGGCCATAAGACAGAAATGAGTGCCAGGAAGAAGGCCAGTGGTCTGACGTATGGTGGCAAGGAGGAAAGTGGCATGTGATGACATCAGAGAGGAAGGCAGGGCTTTACAGACCATGAGTAAGAAGTTAAGATTTTATTGTAAATGCAGTGGGAAACCATTAAAGAGTTGTCAGTGGGAGAGTGGCATGATCTGATTTTTAGTTCTGAAAGGTTATCCTGGGTACTATTGTGAGGGGCCAGAGTAGAAGCCCAGCATCTGGTTAAATAGCACTGAGGAGACATGAGAGGCAATGGTGCTTGGTTGAAGGTGGTGGTAAGAGACGTGGAAAGGTGGATATGTTTGGGATATGTTTTGGAGGTAAAATAAACAATCCTGCTGAATTCTTATTTGGGGAAACTAGGCAGATGGTGGTGCAATTTACTGAGATGCACAGTAATGGGCCGAACTTGTTGAGAGTGACAGTGACACAAGAGTTTTATTTTGGGAATGGTACTTTTGGGGACACACAAATGGAAATGTCAGGTAGGCAGATGTGAACCTGGAGTTCTGAGGAAAGTCAGACACAGCTGCCATGTCTCATGCAGGTTGAGCACTGCACTTCTAGAGTTGAGTAGTACACAGATGGTGGCCTGAAGAGTGTCACTAGCATAAGTTTTGAAACCATTGACCTACAGATGGTATTAAAGCCACAGGAATAAACTCAGCAAACTCAGGATAATCAGCCTTAGCTTCTAGACAAAAATGAAACAAATGATGCTGTATTTTCAAAATTCATCATTAATTGCTGATGAAGAACCAATTCCAACAACTTACTCTAAAGCTCTAAATTTAAATCACTTTTTGATGAAAAAATTGGATTTCAGGTCAATGAACTTTCTTCTCATAGATACTATTTTGAGGGACAACAGAATTCTAGACAGTCTATCAAATTTGTATTCAGTGCTGATGTTTTGGAGATGTGCAATATCAAAATCATCTACTTCACTGACAATTGTTGATATCAGTCTCCTATGTTCTCTTCAAGTAATTTCATGATTTTTGTGGCTATTGATTGGGTTAGTTATGTTTTTACATTTAAATCTTTTATCCATCTGGAATTTATTTTAGTGTCAAGTGAAAAGAATCTAAATTTATTTTACTTCAGATCTTAGCCAACTGTCTCAAAACATGTACCATATGAACCTAGGCTTTTCCTATTGATCTGAAATGCCAAATGCTAAATTCCCAAGTGGATCATGAGATCTGTTTCTGGAATCTCTATTCTGTTTCCACTGATCTTATTCATGATCAGACTGTTTTATATTAAACTCAAATCACATATATATTAAAAAAGATTTCCATATTACAGTATCTGCACATTTATCAAGTTGCAGTGAAAAATACTTTGCTAGTGTTCTATGAAGTTCTTCCCATATTGTAAGTCATTTCCTGTATTTGTTAAGCCAAGGTCTCATTGAAAAGCTGATAAATTCCTATTGTTGCATGCTACAGTATTGTGGTTATCAAGGGGAAAGTTGTGTCGAGAAATCTAAATTCTTAGTTTTCCTACAAGGTTGGAAACCAATTTGGTCTAAACTCTGAAGAATTCTCAACTTTTTGAAGATGTAAATTGGAAAGCCTGACTTGCTTATTGGCCTTATACCTTTGGTATTTTTAATGATCATAATCCTTCCTGTAAGAAGGAAATGCAACTGGCTTTTTAATGGCAGATAATGTCCAAAGCCACCTGGATATCTATGGACACCTCAAATTCAACATATCCACAATTGAATTCATTATGTTTCCCCCAAACCTGTCCTTCCTCCTTGTCTTTTCCTGATAATCATATCACCGTCCACCTTATTACCTAAGCCAGACACCTGGAAATCAGTCTTCACCTGTCCTTTGCCTTCTATATCAAGTCACCATCCAAGTTATATTGATTTTACCTCTGTGTCCTCTCTCATACATGCTCCTTCTGATGACTCCGATTACTTCTACCTTTAGTTAGGCTCTGATCCTCTCACTCTTCACTAAACAGTGCATTCATCAGCTGACCACCAGAATAGTCTCTCCAAATGAAAATTTCTTCATGTCACTTTCCTGCTAAGTCTTTTGTGGGCTCTCTTTTACCCATAGGAGAAATTCTTGTCTTTAGAGTGGCATCTAAACTCTACACTCTGGCCTCTGCATCTCTCCAGCTTCACATCTTACACTCACTTAGCATGTCTCACCCCAACCTCACCTGACTACTTGGGGTGCTTGAAACTGTTTTGCTTCATGCCTTTCTGCCTTCACTCATGCTTGGAATTCTCTCCCACCATTTTTCAAGATTTAGTTCAAATTTTACCACCTTTGGATAGTATTTCCTCTCTTCACCCATCCAAGGGATATTTTGCTCACAGAACTGATTGTTCTTCCCTTGTACTCTTATGTGGACCCCCTGACCTTTTACTACAACACCCACAAGGCTGTATTATAACTATTTGTTTACCTGTTTTCCTTAATAGACTGGGAGCGTCTTGAGTCAGGGACCTTGTCTTTTTTGTTGTTTATTCCTAGTATCTGACAATGCCTGTACAATTTAGGGACTCTATTAAAATTCTTTGAAGGGTGAGTTAGTAAATGAGAAGTTTCAGAGGTGCAATGGAAAGGGCTGGCAGAGAATGCCATAGTGTTGAAACTGGTCAAGAGGAAGACACAAAGCAATACACTGACAATAAGGGAAAGGATAATTTACTAAGGGGGGCTTGGCTTTGTATGATGGTTGAGGATGAGAGGCATGATGGGATTAACTAGCTTTAAGCTTCTGACTAGAATTTGGGTACAAGGTTTTTCTATTGCTCTAGAAGTACAGATGCTATTTTGGGTCAAATGAAGTTTGCTGGATATCATCCAGTTTGCAAATATTAGCACACACATACCATATGTGTATAGATAGATAGACAGATACACATATATACATATATACATATACATATATATACATATACATATATATGTATATACATATATACATATATATATACATATATATACATATATATGCCATATATATATATTTTTTTACAATAACAACACTGCATTTTTCTAGTGCTTTACTGTGTACAAAATTCTTTACTTCTATTATTTTATTTGACTCTTAGAACAGTTGTTTTCCCAAGCTTCGGTTTTCTTTCTTTGTAAAATGAAGATAATACTCACCTCTCAGGGTTGTTTGCAAGGTGTGTTGTGTGTCTGGCACACAGTTAAGCACCAAATATGTTGTTAGAGCAGGAATTTGAGGCCCCAAATGGTTAAATGTCTTGCTCAAGGTTGCGAAACTAAGTTAGTGGCAGATTTAGATATACATTCTAGATTTTATGTCTTCCTATTGTAATATTCATTTTACTATGCTATAGTATCTTTTACATTACTTGGTGCACAGTGTCTTTGGTTTCCTTGAGAGGCTTACCCAAATGCAGACTTTGGAATTACTCTATCAGAGAGCTGATTGCCGAGATCAAACAACATCTAAAACTTGGCTAAAATCAAAATACAAATATAAATAATACTTCATAGCTTGCATTGCCTCCTAGTCTATTTTATAGTTGAAGGTTGTCATCAGAGAATCTGAGCAGGCTAATTCCTGCCCTCATGAGGTTCTATGGAGATGTGCTCCCATTTTAACTGATTTTTAAATTATTGTCATTAAGTCCAGTTTTTATGCCAGAGCAAGTGTCAGTTCAGGGCCCTAGAATTAAGGTGGCAGGCCTCTGGAGTGGGAACTGGAGCAGAAAGAGAGTGAAGAGTGAATCTGGGCTGAAGCAGACACTGACACTCATACCCATCTGTCCTTGTGTTTTCCATAGAGTTTTGTCCAGGAAGAATCTGAAGCCACAAAATGTAAACTGGAGATGAAGTTATTAAGTGAGGCAGTTTTCGCAGGTATTCTAAATTATATTTTTAGAATTTAACTTTATTGGGATTTGTCTGCTTACAAGTGAAATGCAGGGTCATTATTAAAAAATTCAGATGTTGCAGAAATATGTTTGAAGTGAAAATCCTTCATAATCCTTCTTCTGAAATAACTAAGATTAACAAAAACTTCTCCTATTTGTATTTCTTCTCTCTATACCTCTCTTTTGATTTTTAATGAAACCATGAAATGTCATACAAATGCTTGAAAATTACTTTTTTATCAATAATATTTGTTATGTTATAGAACGTTCTCCATACAAAGAACGTAATATCTATTCTTCTTAAGTGAATGATACTCAACACTATCCTAAGTCAGAACACATTAATAACCTTACTTTTTTAGTAGCTGTATAATTCCATCCAGTAATGGAATGTTATTTAAATCTTTATTGATAGTAAGTTTATTTCTAATTTTCCATTATTACAAACCATGTTGTGATGAATATTCACAAACACACACACAACCATAAATTGCTCAACACTTTTACATTAAATTTTATCTTGGAAAATAGCAATTGGAGCTAGTTAAAAATATCAAAATGATAGTGATATCTAATTTGCAAATATTTTAGTTTGAGATTTATGTGCATCACTTCCCAGTAACTTCTAAGGAATTCATTTTTGATAGGTTTTTTTGCATATTTTTCATAATGGGCTTCTTGTCTACTTCACTTCTTCCAACACACTTTTTTTTCAGCAGCCAAATAGTTTTATATCTTTATAACTTTTCTATAACCCTGAGGAGGTAGTTTTCCTGTTAGAGATAGGATACTATAGTCAATTCGTGAATATCTGTCAATAATACTGAGGTTTTCTACATGGTGATCCCCAAATAATATATATCCTAAATGTTTAAATTTGGATACAGTATTCTTTGTTTCTTTTTATGTAAATGGATGATTAGATACATTTAAAATTTTTTCAACGTTTTTTTTTTTTTTTTTTTTTTTTTTTTTTTTTTTTTTTTTTTTTTTATTTTTGGGACAGAGAGAGACAGAGCATGAACGGGGGAGGAGCAGAGAGAGAGGGAGACACAGAATCGGAAACAGGCTCCAGGCTCTGAGCCATCAGCCCAGAGCCTGATGCGGGGCTCGAACTCACGGACCGCGAGATCGTGACCTGGCTGAAGTCGGACGCTTAACCGACTGCGCCACCCAGGCGCCCCTACATTTAAAATTTTTAAGTCTGCATTTTATTGAAGTTATACAAGGGGGAAAAACAATTGCTTAAGTGGAATTTGCTTTGCATATTGTCATTCATTATCAGTGCTTGATCTCCACGGATTAAATTCAGTGAGTCCTCAGTATGCTTCCTTTTATGAGAGAGGAAAACTGTAATGATAAATAATAAGACTAACAGTTCCTAAGTTTTACTTGGTGTCTGGTACCAGTTCTACACTTTTTACATGTATTAACTCACAAATTCCCCCAATTCAATAAGTTAGACACTAATATCTCTTTTGTAGAGGAAGGGGAGAGAAGACATGTTAATTAGCATATCTTGCAATAAGGTCATACAGCTAGTTAAGGGTGGAATCAGATCCACCACTTATAAGTGATCTGATTTCCCTTTCTTATCCATTGTACTACATTGAAAGATTTTGTGTGACAGGTGGGAATGGTCCTCGTGACATGTGACTTAAAATATTCCCTTGATTTTGCACTGAGAATTATGGAATTATAGAATTTCCCTGTAAAATATCTAAACAGAAGGGATTAGCCAATACGGTTTTTTTCACTTTTAAGCCTCTGTGCCCCCCCCCCCCCCCCCCCCCCGCTTTTTTTTATGAGCTGGGCTTATTTTTGTTGAAAAAAAATTAGCTTTAATATATGTACCAAAATTTTTTTTTACCATTTTATTTTCTTCTTTCAGATTTTTAGCCCCATAATGTCCAATTTTAAGACATTTATCAGTTATCAAATGTTGTGTTAAGCCACTTTTTGATATTTTACGATGAAGGTAACAGAATATGTCACCCCAAAATATGTCATTTCAGCATAAGGATATTTTGAGTTGAGAGAAACTGAAAAGATGCAGTTGCAAGAAAAGCTTCTTACCCTCACCCTATCTGCCTCCAACCAGGACATAAATTTTCAAAGGTGTCCCTTCTTCCCTCTTCCAGGAAGAACAATGGTTAATCCCCAGAGAAAACTTCAGACCCTATCAGCCTGGAAAGGGGACCAGAGGAATCTACATAACAAACTTTACTAACTAGTCCTTTCCTCTATCCTCAGAAACCTAAAACTCAGAAAACCTAAAACCTAAAGCTTTCCTTTAGCTTGTCATGTCTCCACAAATTTGTTGTTCTTGGTTGCAGATGCTCTATAAGCCAGAATTCTGAGCCACCTCTGTAGGTTACTCATTTTTCCCTGGGTATCTCCCATATATACAGGAGGTATACATATTAATAAATGAATGTGTTTTTTTCTCTTGTTAATCTGTCTTTATTCTAGAGGTTTCAGCTGAGAACTCAGAAGAATAGAGGGAAAATAATTTTTCCTCCTCTACAATATATTTTTAAAGTTATGTTAATAGTAACATGTTTATTATATACAAATTCTTAAAATGTTGGCATATAAAATATAAATGGAGCCCTCCTCTGTATCTTAACCATTATACATGCCCATTCCCACTTTGAAAGTTAGCTTTGTGAATAGTTTTGAATTAACCACTTTTTGAAGTTTTAGTAGCTAAATAAAAACTTCGTTTCCAGCATCAGAATTTTTTCCTTTCCCTCCTAATACCAAAATGTTATGATCTATTTAGAAACTGAATTAATCTGGTTAATTTTAGCACAGTTGTTGCTGATAGAGAATGCTAATGAAAAGCCATGTTTCTGTGAAGACAATGAGGTTGATTTATGCCAATTCACAACCCTGGGTGGAGTGTACCACTTGGATATTTTCGAACTTCCACCACAGTGTAAACCAATGAAAGGCTGGATGATTGTGGAAGTAGGTTGATTTCAAATCAAATTTATGAGTGAAATAATTTCTCACACTTTTATCTTAAATGATCTAACAGCTAATGCACTTTAACCCTATTAAGCAAGCATAAGGGAAAAAAACTAATTTTAAACTGTCTTGAATTTATAAAATTTGAATCAGATACTAAAGGAAAGGATTCTAGAATAATGCAAATTTTAAAACTATAAATCATACGTGTTAATTGTAAACCTATAGCACTACGTTTAGATTGTGCCAATTTGGTCTTAATGATAGTTTATTTAAGATGCTCGCAAACTTTTTCTGTAAAGGGCCAAGTGGTAAATATTTTCAGCTTTGTGTGCTTACCAGCTCTATTGCTACTCTCATTGTAAGGATAAGACAGCCACATGTAATCATTTAACTTTACAGTGGCTTCCAACATGTCCCTTGATCAGAAGCATTGGCATCATTCTGGGAATTTTCTAGAAACACAAATGCATGGGCCCCATTTTAGTCTTACTGAATCAGAAAGTCTGGAGGTGAAGCCTGGAAATCTGTTTTAGTAAAACACACTTTGAAGTTTGAGAACCACTGGTCTGGATCCTTGATGTATAAAGTGTGGTCCATGAACCAGCAGCATCAGCATCACCTAGAAACTTGTTAAAAATGCATAATTTGGTTCTTCGCCTCAGATCTACTGAGTCTGCATTTTAAGAAGACCCTCAGGTGATTCATATGCCCATTTAAGTTTAAGAAGCACAGATCCAGGTGATGCCAACGTTGCTGATGCATGTTCCACACTTTTAGTAAGGATGCTAATGATAGCAGTTGTTAGATCATTTTTGAAGGAGTTTTTCCTGTTTTAATAACTAACATTTGCCTTGGTATTGATTTGGTTTATTTTAACTTTATTTCATGGTGCTTGTGTCCCAAATAACCCTGTTATATTGTCATAACCCGCTCCTCCTTCCCTCCTTGCTCTCCAGCCTTTCTTTCCCCCTCCCTCCCTCATCCCCTTAGCTCTCTTTTTCTCTGTCTGTCCACCTCTTTCTCTCTCTTCTCTAGCACATCATGTACATAGACTACCAGGCACTTCTCACACACAGCCCTACCCATTAAGGACCTTGGTGCATTCCCATATTAGAGTGGTATTTCTCAGTTTTTTTTTTTTTTTCCACTATCACCCCTCTAAAGAGCCTTTGTAAACATTTTTTTTTCCTAACCACCCCCGCCCATGAAATTTTAATACCAGAGGTATACAATATATTTGTGCATGTACCATACATATAGCTGTGCTTTACACCTAAAAGAGTATGATTTTTTCATGCCCCCAAACTAATTTTTACCCTCTTCGGGGTGATATTGCTATTCCTTTTCCGTTCTCCCCACAAATGAGAATGCAGTTATTAGACCATGCCTGGGGGAGATAATCTGGTCTGTAGCTACTTTGAAGAATCTATTTGAATCAGCTTTTCCTACTTAAGGGATACTTGAAAGACAATGGGGTGGGGGTCCAAGAAAGACATCCTTTTGGTGAAGGTAGGCCTTCAAAACTCTTTATTGAGGTCTCCTGGGTGGCCCAGTTGGTTACGCGTCCAACTCTTTATTTCAGCTCCAGTCATGATCTCATGGTCATGAGTTCGAGCCCTGGGTCGGAGCCCTGCACTGACAGCATAAAGCCTGCTTGGGATTCTCTCTCTCCCTCTTTCTCTGCCCCACCCCCATGTGCACACGCTCTCTCTCAAAACGTTAAAAAAAAAATCCTCTTTATCCATGGGAAGGTCCCAGCCAGAGTTGGGGTTTTCAAGAATTTATTCAAGGATTTGTTCTTGAATCTTGTTGATATCCTGATACCACCATTCCACATTTTCTCCTTGAGCCTGAAGTATACTCCTTTATACTTGTTTTTCTCTCTGCCAACAAAGAGGTCTTCTTGCTTTTATTCAAGTCTCTTTTTAGTACTCTCCCACCTTGTCTAGAATTTTTACCCATCCAGTTTTTTCCTCTATTTTGTACCATTCTTAATCTTCCCCACCCCTTCTTCCCTAGATCCTTTTCTGCTACGTTCAAATAATGAACAAACCTCCTTCTTCCCAGAGAAATCTGCTGTTGGTTTAATTTACTTTCTCTCCCTAGCTTTATTGAGATGTAATTGACATATTACATTAAGGTGTACCTACCTGATGATTTTTGATTTACTTTTATCCATTCATTTCTACACTTCCCAAATTTTGCTTATACTCCTTTCTCTCTTCACATACACACCCTAACCAATGTATTAAAATATGGGGTTTGGGGTCCTGTAGCTCTGTTTCTCAGTTGTGGCACCTCCTTGAAGTCATTTTGTAATCTTTGGCAAATTATGTGATTTCTCTAAGTCCCAGTTATCTTCTCCATTAAATATATGTCTTGTAGAATTACTTGGAGGAATAAAATGATGAGTAAGTCCCAGCATAGAACCTAGCATAGGTTAAATTCTGTAATTCAAATTTATTTTTGTGATGTTTTTCCCCCTCAACCATTATCTTTTAACTTTGTTGTGACTTTTTGTTAGTCTGTAATTAAATGAGACCAATCTTCAGTACTTACTAAGAATAATTATATAGGGCCACCTGGGAGGCTCAGTCAGTTAAATGTCTGACTTTGGCTCAGGTCATGATCTCATGGTTTGTCAGTTGGAGCCCCACATCAGGCTCTGCACTGACTGCTCAGAGCCTGGAGCCTCCTTCAGATTCTGTGTCTCCCTCTTGCTCTCTCTGCCCCTCCCCTGTTTGTACTCTGTCTCTGTCTCTCAAAAAATAAATATTTAAAAAAAAAAAACTATATAGCTTATTCAGCAGTATTTACATCTTTGTTACTAGTCATCTTCTAATTTGATGTTATTTTGGGCCATTTTTAAAAGATACTCAAAGAAGGACTGCAGAAATATATATATCCTCCAGAAAGTACAGAAGACTTTGAAACAGAAAATGCTTTCCCACCCATAGAGGTCACGCTTGAAGTTCAGGAGAATGTAATCTTTTTTGAGGATCCTATGGTTGCAAGGTGGGATGCTGAAGGTACAGCAATACCTTAATTCACTTTGTTAATTATGTAATGAAAAGTGGTATAACATGACTCCTTAAAACAGGAAATACAGTGTCTACACTCCCAGTTTCTAATCTTATACATTTCTATGGCAATTCTAGGGTCTTTGTTTGCTCTTGATGGAAATGAACAGGGATTGGAGTTTATTTATTGAGTTTTGTAACTGTTAGTTCTTGAAGTATTTATATCTGCCATAATTTCTGAACAGTTACTTAGTTATGTAATTATGTTGTTTTTTTTTTTAATTTTTTTTTTTAAATTTTTTTTTTTTTTCAACGTTTATTTATTTTTGGGACAGAGAGAGACAGAGCATGAACGGGGGAGGGGCAGAGAGAGAGGGAGACACAGAATCGGTAACAGGCTCCAGGCTCTGAGCCATCAGCCCAGAGCCTGACGCGGGGCTCGAACTCACGGACCGCGAGATCGTGACCTGGCTGAAGTCGGACACTTAACCGACTGCGCCACCCAGGCGCCCCTGTAATTATGTTTTAAAAAAAACCCAAAAATATCAAAATAGTACAACACATTGAAAACAAAAAAAAATGAAAAACCTACATTTTTTGAAATGACTATATAATTCAGATTAGGGTGATTAAAATTTATTTTAATGTTAATAACTTATAAATTACAAATCTTATTACAAACAAGTATTGGAGATGGGGAATTGGCCATTGGGAAATCTGAGACAGAGGAAAACAGCCACTTTATGCCTCTTTATAACTTTTGATTGTTGAACCATGGGAAATTATTGCTTATTCAAAATGTGAAATAAATATCAATAAAATCAGAAGCACCAGGAGAATACAAGCTGATGATTCACTGATCATTAACAAATACCTTATTTGGGGGTTGGCTGGCTAAACTTTGAGTCTTGATCTTGTGAATTAATGTATGCAGTTTTGAGGCTGCTGGATAAAAGGTATAGAACTTTACTTTTAATGTGAATTAATTTACATTCATCTATTTGTGTAAGTATTTACTTGGTGACAGGTTGGGAACAGATACGATCACAAAGGCACAGAGCTATTAGTTAATCTATTCAGTCATAGGAGGAGAGCATTTAGGAATTTCTCTGCCAAGAAGGATAAATATTATGTAGTTTAAACTTTTTTACGATTGCTACAGTAATCCACACTTTGGTTGTGTAGATGTAGCCACAAGGTATTTATATTCTAGAAATAGAATATAAACAGTATTAAAAACAGTATATGTCTGTCAATACATTAAATAATAAAACATATCAAAATGAACAGTTAGGTAATTTTTTCCCTTCATGTTGCTTTATAAGTTTCACTTTTCCTTTAATGGAATATTCCTTAAATATTCCTTAAATATTTATGACATTAAAAATTATTCACACTAAATTAGAATTAGGCAATTACTCCACATGATTCAGGGAAGTAAAATTTGACTTTTACTATACTAATTAGATAGCAATATACAACTCTGATAATTCTTCCCATGGGGAAACTTTTTTCCAGGAAATGCTACAAATATGGGGAGTTTATTTAGAGGTCATACATAATTTTTGCCTGTACAAGGTAATTTTGTTAATGTAAAAAAGAATTATGAATAACTTATTTTATCCATATAATTGGATTTGGCATATTGAATTTAAGAGTCAAAAATAGTGGAACCCTCCATGTGAGGAGAAAGCCATGTGGAGATGGAGAGGGCATTCTAGGAAGGGAATGACTCATGTGTTCCATAATTGTGCTACACAAGAAGAAATATAGAATAAAGGAGACATAGTTCCTTCCTCTAGAAATTTTCAAAGTTGTAGGAGAGGCAGACAAGGCAAAGCCACAAATACGATGTAGTAAGGTGCTATTGTAATAGCTAAAAGTGTTATGGAGAAGAACAGTGGGTCCACCTGGAGCATTAAGGAAGGCTTGTCATGGTATGGAATATTGAACTGGGCCTTAAGAGACTAAAAGGGTACTGACATGCCAGTGTTTGTGTAGACGTAGGTTTTCCTTTTTCTTGAGTATATACCTAGGGATGGAATTGCTGGGTTGAATGGTAAATTGGTTTAACTTTTTAAGAAACAGTCAAATTGTTTTTCAGAGTAACTGTACCATTTTACATGCCTGCCAGCATTATATGAGGTTTCCCACTTTTCATATCCTTGCCAACATTTGTGATTATTTATCTTTCTGATTCTAATCATTCTAGTGAGCATGAAGTGGTATTTCAGGGATTTAATTTGTATTTCCCTAATAACTGATAATGTTAAGCATCTTTTTTAATGTGTTTGTTATCCTTTAATAGATGTTCTTTGGTGAAACGTTTATTCAAATATTTTGCCCATTTTTAAATTGGGTTGTGTTTTATTATTGAGTTGTAAGAGACACAAAAGACCACCTATCACAGGATTGTATTTATATGAAAAGTTCAGAAAAGGCAAATCTTTAGAGACAGGAAGTAAATAAACTTCCTGTGGCTGGAGGTGAGAATGGGAGTAATTAACTATAAAATGGACAAGAAAGATCTTATGGGGAGGATAATAGTGTTGTTAACTGGATTGTGGTACTGGTTGCACAACTGGATGTATTTACTAAAAGTAATTATATGCTTACCACAAGTGAGTTGTTGTGTTTTGTTTTGTTTTAAATGAAGAGAGGTTCTCTGTAAGATTAAGTGCTCTATCGCTTCTCGGCCTTTTGGCTAAGATCAAGTGAAGATTAAGTGCTCTAGGAAGATAGAACTGCATGTGCTTAGAGGCTCAGAGGTATATGATATTGTTGAGAGAGAGGCAAAAAAAAAAGTGTAGCTAAAAACAAGTGAAGGAAGTACAAGGGATGAAGCCAGAAACATGGGTCTTCGTTCTGAAGGTGTTACATACCATGCTGAGGAGTTTGGACTTGATCCTGTAGACAAGAAGAAACTCCCAGAAAGTTGGCTTTTTGTAGAGATTCTATTCTAAATGTAAAAGATTTATACACATTTGCAGTTATTTGGGTGGTTTCGTTCATCTTCTTTTTGTGTAGAAAAAAATGAACCTGTGACTTTCTTATTGTGAAGGTAAACACTGGCAGACTGATGGCATCAGCAATGTCCTTTACCAATCAGAAGAAAGACTTATAACATTCAGCCTAGAAACTTTTGGCCCTGTTACCTTGATTCAAGATACTCATATTAACATGCCATTCCAGTCATGGGAACTCAGACCACTTGATGTGAATAAAGTACTTTTGACTGTGACTACGGTATTTACTGAGATACAAATACAAATTAAGGTAAGTCACAATTATAGTAAGTCATATGAAAGAGGTAAGCCTCTTTGAGGACAGCATGTCGAAGCAATCCATCATTGGTGATTTACATTTTGAAATGTCTTTTATAAATATATTTAAAATATACTTTGACCCATAATTTTTTAACCTTTTTTCCTAATGTTTAATTAAAGTTTATTTTGAGAGACAGGGAGAGAGAATCCCAAGCAGGCACTGTCAGCGCGGAGCTGGTCACAGGGCTCGAACCCATGACCTGAGCCTAAATCAAGAGTCAGTTGCTTAACTGACCGATCCACAATTTCTAAACAAAATAAAACAAAAATTCTAAATGAAATAGTAATTGGATCGGTAATAACATGTAATAAATGAGATGCAATTTTGAACCCTAAATTTAGTAGAAATAGACCAATTAATGAAGCTACAAGCCCGGTTGTAATATGACTTCGAGAGTTTTTGATCCACTCTCAAGAGACTTCTTCCTCAAAACTGGAAGAGAGAGATGTGAACTCTGTACACCTTCAAATTGCCACTTTGCAGACTTTAAAACCAGATAATTTTGCATTATGTTGTCTTATATGTGTAAAAAAAAAAAAAAGTATCCTTAAAAGTTGCAACATGAATAGCTATTGAATGGCTATTGTAATTCAATATGACCATCATCAGTGTTCTTAGATCATAACTTATAAGATGGGAGGACACCTGAGACGTTAGTCCCTCGATTGTTCAAATAAAGCCCAAAAAAGGTTGACCGATTGGGTGAGGTAATAAGGAGACTTTGTGGCGAAGCTCAGAGCTGGCTTAAAACATAGCTGTCCTGCATTCTTCTCAATGCAGAATGATATAGGGCTAAAAAACAAATGGTATAAAGAACGTCAAGTCTGGAAATGGAATAACGAAGTAATAATTCATAAAAGCTTCTTTCTTCTTCTTGAGATTAGGAAAACCTCTGCATGTTAGCATCAGTCAAAGTAGATAACAAGAAACACTCCTCTACTTTGGAAGGAAGATGGATGACTCCTATTTCTTGTATTCTTGCTTTGAAAGAAACTGGATTGAATATCTTTCCTACTGGACACTCTCATTTTTATGTTGCTATAAATCATAAGGTAAGAACAAATCTTTCCAGATTTAATGTAATGGACAGTTAGAATGTTAGCAAGTACTAAATTTTACGTAAATCTTAAGGTATGTTGCAGGTTTTCTATATCCACATGTACAGGATTATAGTTAGAAAGGAGGGAATAAAGGGCAAGACCAGAAACCCAGGGTTGTCTCAAGTGTAATAATCTTTCCCAAAAGAGTAAGCCTGTAGTATGATCTTCATATCACAAATGGAGCATTGTCCACAGCTGGCCAGTTCTGCATTTTGTATGTTTTCTTCCTTCTTCCAGGCTGGACATATGTAAGATTTCTTAAAACAGGAAATGACTCAACATTTGCCCAAACATGACAAATCAGGCAAAATTAAACGCACTGATACAGAACCCACTTCCTTCTGCTTCTTGGCAAAGGCTCCCCATCTGCATACTGCTTCATGTTACCCATTAGGCTTTAGTTAAATAAGATCCTTCCATGTTAAACTGTGTGCTCCTTGAGGATGGGGACTGCTTTTTCATCACCTAGCATTCTTCTAGCACTTCTAGATTTAATGTCTTCCTTAAATCGGTAGACATTTAATAAATAGGATATATAAACGAAGACAAGGTTCTAATCAGGAAAAATGTTTTAGGCAGAAGAGTTCTGTACTCAAGAACAGGTTTATCATATATCAGATATGACAATACAGGTAGACCTATAACATTGGAAAATGTGAGTACAGTGTACATATGTGCAAGAAAAAAACACCTTGGCTTTACGCACTCAGTTGCCACTCTACAAATGCTGAATGTAGTGTACTAGTCATTGCAGAATATCCAAGAATTTTTTTCCTAAACATTTATATTCTAGGCATTGTCATAGGTGCTTACGATCCATTAGTGAATAAAACAAAGGTCCCTGCCATTGTGGAGCTTACATTCTAGCAGAGGAAAGCAAAAATCATCTTACTTTTTATGTTTATAGTTTATCTAGTATGTCAAAAGGTGCTAAGTGCTACGGAAAAAAGTGCAGGTCAGGAATCATGGGGCTAGTGCAGCATACGATGGCAAACGGTGTTGGAGGAGGGGGCGCTCAATGAGAAGGTAAGATCTAAGCAAAACTTGAAGGTGGGGAATTAGGCCAAGTGAAAAAAGCAAAGGAAGAAGAAAAGGAGATGATAGATCATGGGGTGTATGTGACGGGACATCAGACCCCTTGTCAGTCATTGTTTGGACCTTGGTTTCTCTTCTGAAAGGCAACACCATTGCCTTGTCCTGACCGGGCGGTCATCTAATATTACATTTTAAATGGATTTTTCTGTACTGAGAAGCGACTGTAGGAGGCCACAGATGGAAGAGAGGCTTGTTGTGAAGCTCTATGACCAATTGTATTTGTTTTTATATTGACAGGAACCCTTGGTAGAAATTAAAGCTTATCGACAACTGGCCCTGCTAAGTTCTGCTTTTGCATTTGGTTGGAGCAAGTGGAATGTAGAATGTAGTTCAAAAAAAGTTATAGTTAAGGTAGAGTATGCAAAAACCCATAAAACTTTGTCCTCCAAAAGAAGATAAGGTACTCAAAAGCTAAATGAATGTAGGGCATAGTTTCTCCTCTTGAAAAGGTGAAAAAAATTAGCATCCAAAATAGTTTTCAAACTTCACTTTTATTTTGTCAAAAATATAAAGCCGAACTAGGTAAAGATCATGCCTTCATTGCCCAGTATGGTGTCAAACCCTCTTAACTTTAGGCTAATGTCCTTATCTCTCTTTACCTCAACACAAGAACAAATGGAAGCTTTTAATGTGAATATATCTATGATTCACAAACGTTTTCCTCAGAGATGGGTAGGCCTCCAGTTTAACTTTCTGGCACATTTACTGCCTGAGAACAAAGGTATCTTATCAAATTCTAAATGCTGACTGATGAATGTTCTAGCATAAGTGAGCCACCATATTTACTTGTGTATTTTGAATGTAAACTCCTTGAGGATAGCGTTTATTGTTGCAGTTGCTACTTGTTTGGTTTTCTTTCTGTTATATCCCCAGAACCTAGAATAATACCTGGCACATGATAGCTTTTCAACATTATCTCTGTTGAATGAATGAATACATTTTGATAAGGTCTATAAACACATGGTTTAAGAAATGGGACACTAAGAATGTTTCTTTTACATTAGGAAGTTGGGGGACTTAGTTCAAATTACACTCTGCTAAAATACCTAATAGAAGAACTATTAATGGATTTCTCTAATTTTCTTTTTCTTTAGCTGAGGGAACACCTTACTGAAGAAGAACCTGTTCAGGATCCTAACTGGACCCTTTTAATGTTTAGTGGTGACAGAGCACAGAGGCTCAAAATCAATGAAAACAGTGAAACATTCTCTGAAGCCCTTAAAGAAGAAACAGAGTTTCATTCTACTCTGTATCACCTGGTTAAGGATTTTGCTTCCAAAGAAGCAATGGAGAAAATTAGGAGCTCCAAATGCCAGTTTATTGATTCTGTATGCTATATGCTACTCTCGACGAGATTACTCAGCTACTCTTAATCCCCAATGGTAAATTTTGTTCAGTATGAAGAATCAAGCAGTTTGGAGAAAAAAATCAGGTTATTCAATAAAATGTAATGAGTTGATATATTTCCAGTAGGTTATTAAAATCTAGTCAGCATTTTATACTCAAATGTTATTTTTTAAAAAGTGGGGTTGTTTTTCCCATGAATACTTTCAGTTTTCACTGTATGAAGATTTGAATGGTTCTTTATTTCAATAAATTTTAACAAACAACATGTAAGATCGCCTCAAAAAGCTCATTAAAAGATCATAGGTAGGCTTCCTCCCCATTATATTTTATTTGGGAGGAAATCACAGAAAGAGGGAATGTAAAATATCTTGCGGTCCTTCTGAGACCCTCTGGTTCTATGCTATAATTTCCCAGCTAAAAATGACTAATTTACAAAGTTCAGATACTGAAACTTTAAAAATGAAGACACATACATTGAGATGTGCTCTGGTCACACTGGTGGTGGCCCATTGTGTTGGAGTCTAGTAAATGGCCATAAGATTTGTTCTAGAGACATCCAGGAGTCCCCATCTGGTGTGGGAGCAGCATCCACAGACTTCTGGAAAAATCGTCCTGTGAGGAAGCTCATCAGAGCTGCAAACAGTACAATGAATGCAACAGAAAGCCAGAGTGCCTTATTAGCTTTTCTGATGGAAGTCTTGAGATTTGTTGCCCAGGAAGCTATTGTGTCATAACTATAAGGAAAATACAAAGTCAGTATTTGGTAATAGCAACAATCTGTTATTAGAAACACTCCTTTTGCCAACAATACCAATCAAATCCTTGATCTGCCACCAACACTGCCTTGTAAGAAGCTACCTAATGTGACCTGCTGTCTTGGTTTGTACTACAATTTGCCCCCATCCCCACCCCTAATAATTTTTAGAATTAGAGAAATGATTTAGAGTTAAATAATGCCTGAGACAGACACCTAATTTTCAGATCATCACCATAGCATTTCTTAACTATTAACAAGAACATTTGAGTATTTATCTCATTCTTTCAATTGAGTAAGGCAACTTCTATTCCTACAGTAGAAACAAAAATGTTATTTTTGGGGTAGAGCATGATATGTGTGTATATACCTATGTCACATACTTCTCACCATACCCTGGACTTTTGCTATATTGAAATTTAAACTATTTTTAGAAACCCCCATAAGAAAAGATTATTATATCATAGGTCTTTGAAAATAGTTAACTGTGTTAGACACTACACTTAGCATTTTACATGTGCTAGTTATTTAATCATGACAACAAAACAATGCCACAGGTGCTACCATTATCATTCCTATCTTCTAGATAAAGAAACTGGTGTTCAATAATGGATGAACTTGCCTAGGTCATCTGACTCCAGGGCCAAGTTCCTAACACTGAACTCTTACACATGCAGGCATAATTCCTGTACACCATGCGAAATTTGTTTTTTTACCCTAAATTTAACAATTTGACAAGTCTTTTAGAACTTTGACTAAAATTAATACTGTTAACCCTGCCTTATCTTTCCCCATTCTACAAAAATGGTATCATGAGCAAGTAGACAACTTACATTGAAGAACCATCCCATTTTGATGGATTATTTCTCTTTTCAGAAAGACTTGGCTTTCTTGTCCTTTCTACTGTTTCTTCTCCAGATGGTTCTGAGTCATCTTTACTTCTGTAAATAAGTATTTTTAAAAATGTTTGAAACTATGGATAATGTACCAGATTATTTATAAAATATTGCTAGATTGTACTACTAAAGAGGCTTTAGATATATATTTTTCTAAAGCAAAACAACTAATTCTAAAATTCAAATCACTAAATTTATGTTTTTAACCATTTATAGGAATTTAATTTTTAAAACTTACTATATTTAGGAAAATGTTTGTTGTAGAAAGTTGAGATACTATCCAACACAAGGAGAAATTTACAAAGAACATGCAGAAATTAGTCAATTATCACCACTCATAATTAACCAGTGTTATTAATCTGTGATTTCTTTCCCTGTTTGTGTATATGTAATCATACTTTAAAAAACAAATGTGAATATTTCTTCCGTATTTTTTTATTCAATATGTAGTAAAATATTTTCTCCTTCTACCATATAATTAATCTATTAACAGTGGATTTTATGCTAAACTGGAGTAACATCAAAATGCCATTTCTTCTTTAAAAATCTTAATTTTGAAAGATTTTATAAATCTTTTTATAAAAATTTGTTTATAAAAATATGTTCAGTACAAAGCTAGCTACAATTAATATTTAACGAGCTGAGAAATAGTATGATTTTATTTGAAATACTTTCAATCCAATTGCTTTCTACAGAGGAGTTCCTTTAACCTGAACAAAACTTGTTTCATTATCATGTTCACTAAAAAGTTCCTAGTTAGATTTGAATTTTGAAATTAGAAGCTCATTAGGCCCTCACTGTTGCCAAAGGGAACTGTTTCTCAAAGTTTTTTTTTTTTCTTTTTTTCTTTTCTTGTTGGACTTGTATAGGGAATGTGTGTAGATGGTTTTAGTGTTTAAAGGAAACAAGGTCCAAATGCCTGGACTCTTGTTTCTCAAGATTTCAGTTTTTTTGTTTGCAAAGACTTCTCAGAAATCATACTGTACTAACAAAAAAACAAAAGATAGATTGTAATCTTTTGGAGAAAACTTGATTTTTTTCACCCAGGTAAGAAAACTCCATTACATTTGCTCTAAATCTGAAAAGAACTTTCAACATATGCAATAGACTCCCAGGATTATTTAAAAAACAAAAAAACTGAGGGTAGGCACTATGTCTTACTCTTCTTTATGCCCCTTAGGATCGAATGTAGTATATACCACAGAGTAGGCAGGCAACAAACATGTATAAAAAGAACATAAAGCCATTTCAGTCAGATCTCTACAGATGAGGAAACAGACCAAATAAGGTTAAATAGTTTGTCCAATGTTCACCCAGGACCTAGAGGCAGCATTTCTTCATGTCCCTTCTCCTCAGCTGTCTACCTTTTGCTATAGAAGATTTTATTTAACTTGCTACACAGACATATGGCAATATAGCATTTTACGTTTCCCCTACTGTTCATTTACACATATGATAGGGAAGGGAAGATAGATGTGTATATAATGCACATAATTTACATATGTGCCTATATGCTATACATACATATATATAATTCATGTTTTGTTTCATTTTTTAATCTAAGTAGATGGACATTGTACTTCTGTGGCTCTATACTGACCTTTCTCTCAGATGGCCAGATTACCTATACAGGAAAAAAATAATTTCACAATTCTGGCAAATTTAAGGGTCTTCTCTAACTCAAGACCTCAAACCTTAGGTACTAAAGAGTGAATGTATTTGCAAATAACATTTATAGAATGCTCTACAGTTTATAAAAGTCTTAATGAATTATCTTTTTGATGATGCAGCATCGATCTCATTTCCATAGAGTAAAAGTGATCCCCACTATTTCCCAGTTCACATCAGGTTAATAAACACACCAAGCTTCACCTACTTTAGTTCACATTTTTCTTCTTCAGCATCTGCCCAGGAATAGGTGCTAATAAATCGATGTAATGAGGGACGGTGTTCACTCTGCTTTGACCCCAAAATACGCCTAAATAAAGATGATTATAGCCACTTGTCAAATTAAATATATCCGTAGCCATTATCAATTTATAAGTACTATTTTTTGTTGGCATATTCACATTATGCTTCATTACAAAACTTCATGGTTATACACCTATTTTTATAATTATTGTGCATGTACTCTGTGTAAATCAAATGTTACTCTATTACTTATTGCAAACATTTACTTCAGTCAATTATAAAACAGGAGGTGGTTCCCAAAGGGCAACCATAAAATTACACTTACCAGCTGCTTGACCTCCTACTGAATCGGTCATTTTCCATCCCAGCCACCTTTAAAATTCAGAAATAATTTTAAAAATAATGAAATGTCAATTTAGTGAAGTTTATGTTTTGTTATATGAAAATTAATTTGCTTTTGGCTAAGAACACTTAAGAATTTGCTTACCATTCCTGCATTTCCTATATTTCTGGGCAAAGAGGCAATGGTCACTCTCCGAAGAGAAGATGGCTACCCGAAGAGGGCAAAAAGTACATTTAGAAAATTATCCGTATTTTATCATTGTATATATATAACACTAGTGGATATCCTTGTACCTACACATACCTGCACTTGGTCATTGCTGAGTTAAACAGTAGACATATTTTGTTATGGCCAAATTGCCTTCCAGAAATATTGTACCAATTTATATTCTACCTCCTCCCAACACCCGATGAGTATAATCAGATACGGCTTTTTGTTTCGGTTTCTAGTAACATTGAACATTTTTTTAATGTTTAATAGTCATGTATATATCTTCTCTGAGAACTATCTGTTCATGATTTTTGCCCATATTATTAATGATATTTCTGACAAATGTTTTTCATGGTTAATGCAGCCAAATCTGTCTTTTGCTGTAGTGTTTCTTTTATGCCTAGGTTTTCCCCAACTCAAGAGGTGATAAATATGTACCTATTTTCTAGCTTTTTTTTTTCGTGGTTTCACTTTTTCCATTTACCACATTTAAAGATGGGCATATTTTGATAAATTGATATATTTACATATCAGCATTGAGATTTGCAGAGGAAAATGTGATATACTACTATGTGGTTCTTAAAGTTTAAGTATAACTTCAGGAAATAAAAATGTAATATTAAATGTAGGAGATAGACTAAAGAAGCTTAAGGTGAATCCTTTTCTTAAACCACCATTCCTAATTTAATTGTATAGGTTAGTTGAATATTAAAAATATAAAATTACAGTCCAAGAAACTTGGGTTCTCACCATGGTCCTGCCACTACGTGATCATAACTAATCACTTAACTTATGTGAAAGTGATTTTCCTCATTTGTGAAAGAGATGTGGATGGAATGATTTTAAAGTCTCTTGCTCAAAAAAGTCTGTGAAATCCTGATTTTCAAACTGGCAAAAACTGCTGGTTGACTTTCAAGATCCCATTTTCCCCTTTTCACTTGGTGTAAAAAAACCTCCTTGAGTTTCTAGTTAGGCACAAAGACTCCAG